CAAAGGACCCCAGACGGGTTGCGAAGACCATTGCTCCAGTACCACTTCCCCAAACGCGTGTGAGCTCGTAAAGCAACAGAAAAGTGGACTGAAGTAAATCTTATCTTGGCCTGTTTTATAACCGGAATTTGTGATATGATATAGTGGATGTTCAGAAGACGTTTTTGATAAAGAATGACCATTGAAGTATTTTAAAAACAGAAATATTGGTAGTGTTCATGAACAGTTTTAAAATATGTTGATTTATTGTTTAATTTGTTCTTGCCTCAGTATTCTAGTTACACTGATTTTGTGACTTAGTTTGTCTGATTCCTGAAGGACAAATGAATCTATACTGTGCTGTGGCATCCATCTGTCTGTCAGTTTTGAGATCTTTATTCAATAACACAAAGATACTTGATTCAAGTCTTTTTGTACATAACATGCTGTAATGGAGTCATTTTATGTTTGTTACCACAAAGAAATGACCTTCAATTGCTTTTTAGATGATTTAGGTCAAATTGTCTAAATTTCCAAGTAACATTTTGAAAATCTGAAGACCCATGATGGTTGTTGCTGTGGCATACTGGGATGCTATCAAATTTGAGCCAGTCTATATATACTTTTTTTTTACACAAATGATTAGTCCAGCGATAATTGAGACTGCCAGGGTTGGGGTCCTGGGATCAGTCCCTTACAAATAATGCCCTCTCCACAGAAGGGTTCTTGCACACCACACGTCATACACCATTCATACGTACAAAATATAAATATTTACATAGTCTATTTTACCATAGTTGTTTTTTCAAAAATCTCTTTTTTCACAACTTCTTCACACCACTTTCAAACAGGTCATTAGTTTTTTTTATAAAAGTTGATCAAAATTTTCACACACCTTTCGCACATAACACACTAAATATCTTGCAATATCAAACAAGGACCTTTGGACTGATGGAGGCCTTTAGGGGGAAGGTTGGGGTTTCTATTTCTTTTGCTTAAAGGAGACTTTTAAGGGACAACTCCATTTTATTGCCTAAATGTTGACACCTCAAAAACAAAAAACTGAAGAACTTTGATATCAGTAGATGAAAATGAAAATAAATTATCTCAAAGAAGACCTGGAAAAATTACCCATTTTTGCTAAAAATCCCTCGTGGTGTTGTTCTATGAGGCAATAAATTTTTCAACAGTCATTACTTTTTTGAAAATAGATTTACAAGCCAAAAAGTTTGGTATTGAATTATTAACTTGACTGTAGTATATGTGATGTTTTGTTAAAAAAAACGAGGCCCAAGGGGCCTTAACGGTCACCTGAGGAATATATGTCAATAACTGGGGATTTTAAAATGTTGAAAAAATGTAACAACACTTGTGCAGGACCGTGTGTAAAATGTTTGAACATTATCCACCCAGTAGTTCTTGAGAGGAAGTCCAAAATGTCTTGGCCAAACAGAGGCTAGGGTGGCCATCTTGGATTTTGAATCGCCCCAAAAAGTTAAAACACTAGCCAGGACCTTGCGTAGAACATTTGTATCAAGTTTAGACATGATCAACTCAGTAGTTAATCTGACTGTTGGTTCATGAGAAGAACATTTTTAAAGATTTACCTAATTTTACCCCCCTTTTCTTGAAGCGGCTTCCCATGGGGATGCTTGGTGCCAAGTTTGGTCAAAATCCATTCAGTGGTTCTTGAGAAGAAGTCATTTAAAGGTTTTTACATATGGCCCCTTTTACACCCGTTATGGGCCCCAAAGGGGACATCATCACTTTTTTTCAACATAATTTCATATGTTCTTCACTAAGGGATGCTTTCTACCAAATTTGGTTGAATTCCGTCAAAGTTGAATTTTTGACCCTTTTGAGCGCTTTATTCAATTCTTTTTTTTTATTTTATTTTATTTTTATTCATTATTATTATATTGATAAATATATAATTATCATTATATGGATTATCCGATTTTGATAGTTCCTCAAGTCTTTTTTCTTTTATTTTCATATCGTTCTCTTTACTGTTTATGAATTTTGAAACAAAAATAGTGAGTTCCTTTATTTTAACTTTTGCCGTCTCCCACCTGTCACCAAGGCTTTCGTTTTTCTGTTTTCCAAAATACCCAGAATGTTTCAAACATAGTTTTAAAGGTAACATTACCATGATTATCAAAAATATCAGATGGTCTTTAATCCATGTTGTTTCCATTGTGTGAAATGTCTAAAAGATTCAAATGTTGACAGATTTAATATACTTTCCCCAAGATACTGGTCAAGAGCCCTAGATTGAAGAAATTAGAGAGATGGCCATTGTTTATTATGCAACTTTTTGAATGTTTGTATAAAATTTCAAACCAATGGCAGAGAGAGGGACCAAAATTCAAGGATATATATATATCCAACCTCAGCTTCACTAAAGTTACTAATTAAAGGTGTTTGCATAGGATTGCTTTTCAATGTCAAAGGTCAATAGTCAATGTAAGTAGAAAACAAATTTTCATGTGGTAACTCTAGTGCAATTTTCACCTTTCAACCTGAAAGTACATAGTTTCAGAATGTAAACAAGGGTGGCCAGAAGAGTCGGTATCCCTCAACGAAGAAGTGACTTCATCATCAGAACAGGACTCTTCAAGTTCAGATGAAAATTCGGGTGATGAGAATGCCATGATCAATGACCATGTAACGGAAACTGAACCCATTACTTTAGTTGCTGAACAATAAGAAAGTCTTGTTAAGACACCATCTGGCAGTGAACAGTCATCTAAGAAAAAGAAACACAAGACTCACAAAAAAGACACTAAGAGAGGCACTAAAACCAGCACCCTGACCACCCTCAACAAGTTTCTAATCCAAGTAACTCCGTCGGTGTCTCGTAAATCAAGACAGATGGCCAAAGAGGTGCGTATACCAACAACTCCGACAGAAATGCTGGAGGCTGGAGGAAAAGCAAAGAAAAAACCAAAGGACGATAATCAAAGTAAATAATGAGGTGTAAATGTAATGTAGCTCAATGGAAAATTAAAACTTTTGGGATTTGTAACCTTTTTCCCTCCCAGATCTACAAATACAGTATCCATGAGAAAATACAATCGTAGTAAATACATAACAGAGGAAGTAGAAATTAGAAATATGTTTATTTACAATGTAGAAAATTTCACTAAAGCAATCAAACATGGTAATATATGTATGAATCACGAAATATATCCTATACAGTATGTATGCCATATTAACTACATAAATAGTATACATGTATTTACATTGTACATATATCAACAAAAAACAACACCATGTTAATTACCAGTATTAGTATGTCATACAATGTATAATGTACAAACATAATGAAAACAACACAAACATCAAAATGTTACATACTACAATCGTAATCTAAATATCAAAATATTAAATACGTCCGACAAGGTTTACATGTATAAATGTATGTATAATGATAAAAAATACCTGTATGTAACAGGATAAAACTCATCAAATTATTAATCAGTTAAAAACAGACAATATTTTCAAAATATTCAAAAATTCAAAATAAAATACAAATTGCACTGTATAACGCTAAACACACAAGGTCTCGGAGAAAAACAAAAAAAGGAACAGATTTTATGAATGGGCTAAGGAACAAAAAGCCAATATCATATGTATACAAGAGACACATTTCATAAAAACAGACATAAATTATATCAATGCTGAATGGCGAGGAGATATGATGCATAACTTCAGTACCAGTCAGAGCAGAGGAGTATCTATATTACTAAGATAGCTAGAATCATGAGATAATAAATACATGGTCTGATGAGATTGGTTGATGTATTATGGTAAATTTACAAATACATGAAAACAAATTTACAATTATCAACATATATGCCCCAAATGAAAAACAGCAAAAAAAATAAAAACAAAATAGAAAACTTTAAACAGGGCATGACAATAATTGGAGGGGACTGGAATGACATACACAGAAAGGTGATAATGGCCTTACTATATTAAAAAGAGAACTTAAATTATTTGACATGTGGAGATTAAAAAAATCCTACAAAAGAAAAATTTACTTGGAGAAGAAAAGATAACAAAAGAGAAGCAAGTAGAATTGACTACTTTTGATTTCAAGGGAAATAACTCCGAAATTAATTCAAACAGATATCCGTCCTGCTATAATAAAATCAACTGACCATCTTGCTGTTTCATTAATCCTACAAGAGGTCCAGGATATTGGAAATTTAACAAGAGCCTACTAAACAATGAAGAATACAAGAATAGAATTAAAGTTTGCTGCTGTCTTGTCAATGTTCAGGCTCCATTGTTAAAGGAAATTGCAGATAAATATGAAATTGTCCAGTCTTGAAATGTCTGGTGTATACCAGTCTGTTTTTCTATTTATAATTTAATATTTCTTGCACATTCTACTATTTTCTCAGCCGTAAATCTTGAGCTCAGCTATTAAAAGGACATGCAAGCTATTATTTCCATACCAGCATTAGTGATGGGTTATCACTGGGCTAAGGTTTTTGCTTGCTGTTCTTAAAGCATTAAGCATAAAAAGAATTCACCTAAAACTGTTTTCTCATGAAATACTGAAGACATTCAAATTTAACTTCACACACGAGTTTGAGACCATATGGTACTTTATACATGTACCACTGTTAAGACATATACAGTAAGTCATGAAAATCATTTAATAATATCTTGTACTCTCGAAATAATAACTATTTATTGTTTCATAATACTTTCACTGGAACATCTTATCTTACTGATCATTTATCTGTTGATCCGTAGATGTACATTATGTACATTTATCTGTAGATGTATAATATCGTGATCATTATCTGTAGATGTACAATATCGTGATCATTATCCGTAGATGTACAATATCATGATCATTATCTGTAGATGTACAATATCATGACCATTATCTGTAGATGTAAAGAATTTGTTGAGATGTTATCTATAGATGTAAAAATATGTTGCAAATAGAGTTGTAGTACAATTTGACATTTTTTAAGAACAGAAATATTTGGTGTCCACAGTTAATCTTTTGTTATCCTTATCACCTGAAAGTCTTTTGTTGTCCAGACAGCAAGGTCACAACACTGAGTCCCTGTCAGGTACAGCTGGCCCTGTATCTGGTGCCAGTAGTCATGTGACTGTTTTAGCACAATCTTTCCATCATCTGACATTTCTGAAACAGTACACATATTGGACTCAAAACTAAATAACAAATATTGGAATTATAAATACACTGATCTGAGTAATCTCCATTATGTACCACATATGCATGGTCATATACAGGCTAATATACACAGCCTATGAATCAAATCAATATAAACATTTGTTAGAAACTGTTGAATCAGCTGGGAAAGTTTCGAGTACCGGGTAGTTGTCTTTAGAACATCAATTATCTCGGCAAAAGGGAGTTATATATCTGTAACTTGACAGAAATTTAACATGTCAATCTGATACACATCTTTTAAGTGGTTTCAGTCTGAATATCTCCTTAAAATGAACAATCTAGTCTGACTGTTAGCAAAGTCACAGAGATTTTAAAGAAGTTCTTAGTTACTTCTTACCCAGGAAAAAATCTTTGATAGATTCACACGCCCATATTGTCATGTCTCTGGCTGTGTATGGGCATTTTACCTCAACTATGTCTGGTGATGAAGTTAAGTGGTTTCTACACTGATGATGGATACTCCCATCATTCTTAAACTCTCCTTGTACAAATCCATCAGGTGATGCACCAAGTACCCCAGACTCATGCAGCCATATACCTGTATATAAGAAAAGCATGATCAAATCAGTAATTCAGGTACAATTTTATGCCTAGCAAATATTGTGATTAATAAAAAAACATATTTCAAAAAGAAACCTTCCACGTTCTGCCATTTAGTTCAAAGTGTAAGTAAGACTTTTTCATGTGTACTGATCAATACTCCAAAACAGAGGCCAAGGTTGATAACTTTTAATCAAAATATGACAGATTTGATACATTTAATAAAGTCAGCCAAAGAATTAGATTACAAATTACAAACTGTATACACATTGGTTTTTTAACCTGCCTGTCTGCCCCACAGTTACTCCTCCTTTCTTACAATATTCTTCAATCCCATTTTTTTCATGAGCTACACCCCACTGGATAGGCGCTCGTTTCTCCAAATTGTATGCACTAAGGAGTCTTTTCTTCAATGAAATTGACAACCTGGAAGTACGTTACTGACATATTAAGTAAGTTTTTGCTCTTCAAAACTGCTCTACAGTTATAGTGAATATACATTAAAACAGACATAGCTGCAAACTGTGTGAAATAAATGTTAGTGGTGATTCTTCTGAAAAATGTCTTAAAACTCTTATTCATTGAACATGATAATGACACAACATTTTACATGATAAATCTTTCAGTTAGTTACTTTCATACGACACAAATCATTCAGAAAAGAATAAAAATATATCAATATAGTGAATTGTTCTACCTATTTCGATTTGCTGCAACAAGAATTTGTCCAAAATTGGATGCAGTAAAGCGCAATTTCCTGACGGCTGCCCAAAGGGAATTTTCTCTTTGGCCAATGGTGGCATAGGCTGTCTCTTTCACCTTTTTCTGCGATACAACCAAGTGTTGCCTCAACCATGTTTTGGTGTCCTTAGCCGAGAGGTAGTTAGGTTTCATCAGCCAGTCATCCATTAGGGGAACTGGCACTTCCTGAACCCCTGTGTCATCAGCCAGATTCCAATGTAAAGCTGCAATAAAATACTTATATATAAACATAATTAATGAAAGCATTAAAAAGCTTACAAAAGATGTGTTTCAATGTCTTTCCCAAATATTAACTTCATGATGTATGGTAAAAAGATTTCACAGGTATACATGAGATTAACACTCACTGTTACCCCCCCCCCTCCCCTAAACTTATATGAACAGCAACATTGAAGCAAAATTGGTACTTTCTGAACATCATTTCAACTGATATTGCAACATGATCCTTTATCATGAATCAGTATGCTCTAATGACAGTTACACTTATCTTTGAATTCAATTCTTTCAAAAAAAAAATCTACATTATTTAAATTGCACTTTAATCAAGGAATGACATGTATAAACTCTAAACATAACACATATGAACTTCAAAACCGAACTGATAAAAAAAGCCAAAAAAAAAGGACCATTTAGCGAATTTAATATCACCACTGGCTTTTAAAAGTGTAAGTTTAATTGTATATGGATATAAGACTTGATTCTTTTACCTGTATCCTGGTTGCTTTGGGGGATATAATTCACTCATTGTCAGTGTAGTTTTTGGAGGTGCTGACTTGGGGTGTTTCATCCAACTGCACTTTACGTCAGTTATACTTGCTCTTTTGTACCTAAAACACAATTTAAATGTCATTATAAAAATATATCCCCATTTTCAAAAAAAAAAAAAAAAAAATCAAAGTACTGAAAGTACTGGTATGCTAATACCATTGAAAAAATAAGTTCTTTGTTATTAGCTTGCTATATACTGAAACCAACTATATGCAAGCAGTAAATCATTGCAGCCCATAAAAAATGACCAGCAGATATCAGAAATAACAAGCATAGTAGTATTACTTATGCAATACATGTCCCAAGTAGGCTCAAAGATGCAATGATAGGGAAGTTGTCCATTTCTCTGGATACATTGTAGGAAATGTTGATCTTGGACACCATATTATCACTTTAAAGACTGCGTATCTTATTGGTTTAAGACTATAAGTTAGACCATCATGCAAGTAACATGCTACATACAAATATTGGGCAGCTTCATTTTCCAGATTGTTTGTAAATGACTGCATAAGAGTGCCAATTTTCTAAAACAAATATGATATGTCACCATAACTTAAAATAGAAGATGCCTATTCTTCCAGAACACCTGGTCTTATTCTCCTTGTACTTTTTCAGGGAATCTTGAGTAGATATTGTCTTTGTTTCAATTTTACACTTGTTTTGCTGGTTCTACAATTCTGTTGACATGTTTATATATTCTTTGTTCTCTAAAACTTGTCGCAAGATATCTTATTCCTCTTGTATTATCATTTTTTAACATCCTTACAGTAAACTTGAAATTTGCAAGATGTGAATATCTTTTAGGTTGTGAAATTTGATAGAAAAATGAGGGTAATGCAAAGAACACCCCCATGCATCTATCTGTTTTTTGACTGTGACCTTGATCTTTGACATCTGACCCTGAATTTCTAAAGAAACCAACTTCTCCTCATAAGGGATACATGTTCCAAATTTGATTAAGGTATACTGTCTTAGTCTCAATGCGTTTACAAGGTAATCATATAGTACTTATGCAAGTACTGTGACCTCTACATTCAATCCTCAAAATCATTACTATATCCTCTCCACATTGCCCAGGGATAACTGAAACTGTAATCCAAATGATAACTAATACCCCCAACACCCACAGCCTTAGCTATCTCCCCATGGTGACCTTTTGCACAGAAACATCCTCTGAAACACAGCCGCATGTGCACGTTCCCCAACATTCCTGCTGAAATTGGTCCACAGGTTTAGAAGTTGACCGACAAGCAAAACCCGTCTATATTGACCAGTTGCCATGGCAATCAATATTTCGAGGGAAAATGGTGCATGCACATCTACACATTGTCTTGAATATTACTGAAAAGTTTCATTGGAGTTGTCCAGACAAGATGTGTCTACAGACAGACAAACAGATGGATGGACTGATAGACAACCTGATTCCAGTTTACCCACCCTTTTGGTGGTATAAGAATGCACAAGAGTGCTTACAAATTCCATGTGGACAGACATTATGGAAAAATAATAATAATAATAATAATAATAAAAAAAAAAAAAAAAACATGATACAGATGATTATATCTTGTTTTATTCAGTTTTTAGATACAGTATTCTTTCCATGCTTTGATCAGCAATGTCATCTTGTCATGTCAATATCCTAGTACAAGATTGCATACACAAAATTGTTGTAGGTATACTTTTAAGATACATCAAAAAATACATGCCTAAGTTTAAATGAAGGTTTTAAACAGAAGTCATATTATGTTCAGTATACAGTGATTTTTTTAGACAATTGTAAACTATAAACTCGGTATGCGGTGATCTTTTCTACAAAAAATTTTTTTTAATATATTGTATACACTAAACTCAGAAGAAAAAAAATAAGCAGCCCTTTCTATGTACACTACAAACTCAGTATACAGTGATCCTTTCTACACAAACTTGGTATAACTAGTGAATCTTTCTACTCAAGTAAATTGAAGATTGTATACAAATTTACTACAAATGCAGTATACAATGATCTTTTCCACATTTTTTTAGTTTCCGCGATTTGTTGATTCTTGTTTTGTGATGGTAAATATATTGCCGCCTTTAGAGAGTACTGTGACCTTAAAAGGCAACATGGTTGTTAGCATCTCCTCAAGTGATTAATCATCTTCAACATCTAACTGGAGGCCGGAAAGAAGGACGTTTTTCTCCACCATAAGGTCCTCAAATCCATTGTTGGTCACCATAGCCAATTCCAACTTAGAAGAATCAATAGAGATACCTTCTACCATTCCAGATTTCATTTCTTCAGGGACATCCACTTGCTGAAAGAGAGTAAGGGAAATAAATAACTATATTTCATTATTGCTATGATTATGTGCAAGAAATATACACTTCTGTATAAGCTTATAGTCTTCCCAATAGGAGTCTATATTAAATATACTGTCAAATTATTAAGCGATGGACAGCTAGCAAAATGATAATATCTTGACCATGGTCACACTGAGATTGAATCATAAAATTAAATTTGTGTGATAAATCTGTGCAGTATGATAATTTATTTTGATGTTTGTATTTCAAAAATCATTTTGACTTGAAAAGTAATGTGTGATTTAATTAATTACATTGGACCGTCATGTAATGGTTATTTAATTATTTTGAAAATACCTGTAATGGCAATGCAATTTTCATAATGTAATTGTAATTTAATTAATTACATCATCATGTAATTGGACCCATGCCTGTTACAAACAGTAGCTGTCCTAACTGATCCTAAAATTAACTTTGGCTATGTCTATTACAAATGCCACATTTAGCTACAGTAGAGGTATTTCAAAAATGTACGTCATTGTAGCTGAAAGGACATAATTAATGGTTACTTAACCAGAACTACAGTTCTGAACAAACCACTACAAAGCCTGGTTAACTGTACTAAGAAAATGTCCTCTCAATTAATCAATTTCATTGATTATCGACATCTTATTGTTGTACTTACGGTCACTTGAGTTTCTTAAAGTTTCAATTTGACTTTTAATAAGGCCCAAAGTGATAATACTGCAATGTCTTAATAAGCTCTCGAGGGGTATTGGTTAGACTATTTATCCCATTTCATTCCATTCACCATGGAAACAAAATTCTAAAACCCTTAAAAACAGTTGACAATTTATGACAAATATTGAGCCTAGGGCTGTGTAAAATTGATGAATGAAGTGTTGAACTGAAAGTGGAAGCAGTTGACATAATACTGAAATTTCTGAGATAAACAAATACAGTACATATGTCAAAAGTTCAGGCATAATAAGAATTGTACCAATTACACTTTACACATTCACACTGGGACCTAACACTTTACATATTCACACTGGGACCTAACACTTTGCTAGGTTTATCCTAATCTTTATTAAAACACTTTCCGGGATTCAGATGTCAATTGACATCTTCATTATTCCCAATCTTTATATTGCAATCGTTCACATGCATCACTCTTCAACAGAATCAACGAGACATCATGTCAGAAAGACAAAAACTAAATTTAAACTTAAACTATAACTTCACTTGTAAACCTTACAATTAGCATAGCTGTAGAGTTCCCGTACGATTTCATACCCTGGCATTGTGGTACTTCTAAATTATCTCCGATCAGAAATTTGAAAGAGCTAGATCTACAATAGCACGGACAGTGACCGATATTTTAAAGTAAAATCGATATATTACACAGATAGATTCCTAGAACGATTCACGGTAGCGTAAGTAGTACAGTACAATCAGGGACCTATATATTAACATATATACGTCCCTAGTACTATATTACGGATAAGATTTTTCTGTTTAATTTCCGATCTGTTGGGCCACTGACAGAAGTGACTGCGATGAGACCATTAGGAAACGATCATTCAAAAATAAATTCATTTTAAAACACTGAAATACTTTACGGAAGCAACAAAAATGTGCTAGATGCTTACATAACATTTTTCAAATGCATACTGCTTCAAAGGAAAAAGTCTTGAAAATATTTTGAAAAAAGTGCCATGGCGGCAGTGCCCAGCTTGCGCGTCGCCGTCGAGCCTAAATTCAATACATGCGATAGCTCATTTCAAATGATTTTTTGCAAAAAATGCAATTGCTAGTTCAGTATAAGTATTGACTTTAGATTCAGCTTATAGTGATACTTACCTACATAAAATACCCGCCATCTTCTTTCTGCCGAAGTCTTCTTTCAGGGTCCAGCAGCAGACAGCACCCCGGCCGTTTCCGTCAAAATTTTATGCTACTCTAAATCATTCTTATTTTCAACTACATAATTCAGTATTTTCAAAAGTTTTCTACAGTATAAAACGGGATGAAAATTTTCGAAAAAGAAAAAAAAGAAAGATATATGACACCCACAATGCATCGCGTGGAAAAGAAAATTAAGCCGCCATATTGGCATCGCCTCGCAAAATTTACCACCATAAAACGTGAGTCTTTGTCATTGTATTTACAAATTTCGATGTCTGATTATCATTAATACACAACACAAAACGTTTTCTTGATGTACAAGTAATGAAGAAAATGTCGATTAGGTTGTTTCATTTAATGACGAGCATCAGCAACATGTAGGGGCGATAATCCAATGATTACGGTAATGTCCGGCAGATGGAATAGGAGTAAACTTTCGATTTATGAACCAATGAAAACGAAGTACTGATACTCGGGGCCAGGGGCGACAGCAACATGCTGAAGAGCACTAGCATAAAAAAAAATAAATAATAAAAAAATCCCACTTTAATCATTATCTACATTATTGTCACATACAATAAATGTACAAACATACTGAATTTACCTAGTCTTTATTAATTTATCTTTTCTTCTAAGCATGCTTACCCATACAAAAATGCAGCTGCTACATGATGGCATTTATATTCCCCCATCGGGCATTGACGTGATGTTGCCTTAACTGCACCATTGTCTTCATCATCAAGGAAGATCTACAATGGAAAATATTGAAATAATTATAAAAATTAAAACTGGTTATACAGGTTTTTTTTATTAAAAGTTGTGTGTGTCAAAAAAAAAAAAACGCAAAAAAAAAAAAAAAAACACTGGTGATGAAAAATACTTGTCAAAACACACTGACCAATTACTATTGAACCGATATAAATATGTTTTTCTGCCTACTGGAAATACTGTATATGTACATGTAGTACTGATCAGCGGATTAATAACCTGATAACATGTATCGGTGAATATATTCCTGTATAGAGTTCCAGAAATCACATCTCACGCGGCCAGTCTGGATTCTAAGTCAGATGTGAAAGAAGTTACATAAAACACTAATACTTATCGGATATATCATTTTTGTGAACTCCAAACAAAACAGCGTAAATCGTGAATTTGAGGAAATATTACCAACTCACCTGAACACTGTATGAGCTGTCTTTCATTGATGCTTGCACGCATGTTGATACCACCCGCATCTCATCTATTACGAAACGAAGCACTCTGCCACTCTCGAAAGATGCTTCGCTTTTCCAAGTGAGTTTACTCTGGTCATTCACATAGTTGGCCCTGTACGAAATCGAAAGTACCATTGTTGTTTTTTTATGGTATTGTTGTACCCGGAAGTGCAAAAATCTCGCAGATCACTTGACGTGACTTACGCAGTGTCTCTGTAGTGGCTAACGTAATATTGAATAAATTGTGTCCGGTATGTGTGAATCCGGAAAACGTCATTCTGAAGCAATGCACATCATTTCAAGGATTGAGTTCGGTTCAGCCGACTTTACTGAATCGAAACGGTTTGTCGGAAAGGAGATATTGTGCGGCTATGGTAGCCAATGATGCAAAAGATAGTCCATTTGTTCATATTTTTTTCAATCTACAAAATTAACACATTCAGTAAAATCGTCCCTTCAGATATTTTTTATTTTTCCTCACGGAGCGTTTCTCGAGTCATAATTCTACAAATTCCATAGTAATTGAATTGTACTAAATGATTTATTCAAAATATTACTTACAGCATAGTTTTCTGTTATTATCGACTTTCAATATGTTATTCTTACGATTAAGTATCTTTAGGTCTAATGTTTAAAGGAGAGTAATTTTATTTCTAAAATGAAAATTAACACTTTTAATATGGCTTTGATCAAGGCAGACAGACGGACGGACAGACAAACAGACTGATAGACAGACATCAAAACTTGATGCAAAAAGATTTTTTTTCCCGTCAGAACGTCATGAAACAGACAATGGTTTCCTCTATCAATTTTTATTTCCAATGTATATATTTTTTCACTATTTCAATTTTGCGAAATTTAAAACCTGTCAAAAATTCCAACCTTTAAACTATCCCAAATGTTTGAATGCTACATGACGTACTGGATATGAAATCATACGCGGATTTTCGAAGACCAACATTGAAAAAAATGTTTATCTTAGTACAGATACCAAGATCAGATGTAATTTTATGTAATACTAGTTCCAATTCCAAGACACTGATGCTTTTGTAGCGCCAACATATGCAGGACAATGTCAACACAAGGAATCGGGGTTTAACATTAAGGATGTGAAAGAGATGAGCGCCCATTGGAAGGGTAGTCTTATTAATTAGTCAGTAATCTGTCCTCTATCAAATGCAGTCTACGATTTCCAAAATGTACATTTGTTGTTGTTGTAATAAAGAAACCAAAATACAACCCAAACCTACATTTTTGAACTTCTTAGCACGAACTTTTGTTCCATAGCACCTTTTGACCGTGTAGGAAATAGCTTTCGCTTTTTTTTTATTTGTAATTTATTTGAAGTCCTTCTAAATACTCGTAAGGCTTTGAATCGTTATCATGTGTCTCAGTGATAGATCGTGATTTTAATCAAGTGTCTAAGTGATAGATCGTGATTTTAATCAGGTGTCTAAGTGATAGATCGTGATTTTAATCAGGTGTCTAAGTGATAGATCGTGATTTTAATCAAGTGTCTAAGTGATAGATCGTGATTTTAATCAGGTGTTTTAGTGATAGATCGTGATTTTAATCACGTGTTTTAGTGATAGATCGTGATTTTAATCAGGTGTCTAAGTGATAGATCGTGATTTTAATCACGTGTCTCAGTGATAGATCGTGATTTTAATCAGGTGTCTAAGTGATAGATCGTGATTTTAATCAGGTGTTTTAGCGATAGATCGTGATTTTAATCAAGTGTCTAAGTGATAGATCGTGATTTTAATCAGGTGTCTAAGTGATAGATCGTGATTTTAATCAGGTGACTAAGTGATAGATCGTGATTTTAATCACATGTCTAAGTGACAGATCGTGATTTTTATCAAGTGTCTAAGTGATAGATCGTGATTTTAATCACGTGTTTTAGTGATAGATCGTGATTTTAATCAGGTGTCTAAGTGATAGATCGTGATTTTAATCAGGTGTCTAAGTGATAGATCGTGATTTTTATCAGGTGTCTAAGTGATAGATCGTGATTTCAATGAGGTGTTTTAGTGATAGATCGTGATTTTAATCAGGTGACTAAGTGATAGATCGTGATTTTAATCAGGTGTCTAAGTGATAGATCGTGATTTTAATCAGGTGTCTAAGTGATAGATCGTGATTTTAATCAGGTGTCTCAGTGATAGATCGTGATTTTTATCAGGTGACTAAGTGATAGATCGTGATTTCAATGAGGTGTTTTAGTGATAGATCGTGATTTCAATCAAGTGTCTAAGTGATAGATCGTGATTTTAATCAGGTGTCTAAGTATGATAGATCGTGATTTTAATGTTTAAGTGATAGGTGATTTTAATCTCTAAGTGATAGATCGTGATTTTTATCAGGTGACTAAGTGATAGATCGTGATTTCAATGAGGTGTTTTAGTGATAGATCGTGATTTCAATCAAGTGTCTAAGTGATAGATCGTGATTTTAATCACGTGTTTTAGTGATAGATCGTGATTTTAATCAGGTGTCTAAGTGATAGATCGTGATTTTAATCAGGTGTCTAAGTGATAGATCGTGATTTTAATCAGGTGTCTAAGTGATAGATCGTGATTTTAATCAGGTGTCTCAGTGATAGATCGTGATTTTAATCACGTGTCTAAGTGAGAAATCACGATCGATATCACGTGACAAAGTGATAGTTCATGATTCTTATCATGTGTCTCACTGTTATATTGTTACCGTCATCACGTGTCTCACTGATATATTAGAATCGTTATCACGTGTCTCCGTAATATATTTGGATCGTTATTACGTGTCTCCGTGATATATTTGGATCGTTATCACGTGTCTCAGTGATATATTTGGATCGTTATCACGTGTCTCAGTGATATATTTGGATCGTTATCACGTTTTCAGTGATATATTTGAATCGTTTTCACGTGTTTCAGTGATATATTGGGATCGTTATCATGTGACTTAATTGTAGATGTTGATAATTATGGATAAACGTTACGGATATTATCATGTGTTAAATATTTTAACTAATATCAGGTGCCTCAGTGAGATATTTTGATCGTTAAAACATGTGATTTAGTTGTAGATTTTGATCCTATTTCTAAGTGATCAGTCACGTAAACCCTTTGATGGGGCAAGACCAATGAGTAAAATTCTTACATCATCACCGTCTTTCGCTCTTGATTCCCGGTAACAGATTATATGGTTATCGCGTTGTAATCTCGACTATATCAAAAATATCACCCAGACAGAGATAACGTCCCTTAAGGTGTGCCACTACCAAAGGGTCAACAAATGTTTATCTCTTGATGCAAAGCCATTCTATATATATATATATATGGTTATAGGGTAGGGATTTCAAATGTTTCAGAGATATCCTGAAATGAAGTCCAGAGGGGTGGGGCCACACCGGAGGACCAGTTCTTACATTGTGAAAGCATTTATCTCTTGATGCCCAGCATTGCCATATCTGGTTAAGGAGTGGGGATATCAACTGTTTCAAAGATATTACCATGAAACTAGGGGTGGGGCCAGACCCCAGGACCAGTTCTTAAATCTGATTGTGTTTATTTCTTTATACCAAGCAATGCTATACATGGTTATGAGATGGGAATCTAAACACGTATCCACTATCGATCCCTTCCCCTCCTGCCCTAGGGGTCGAGATCCAACATTTTTACAAAATTGATTCCCTTCACCAAAAAAATCATTCACATCAAATTTGGGCAAAACCTAATCATTCCTACAGGACGAGTAGGACTTTAATTTCCTCGATATCCCATATTGAGCCCCAACCTTCTCGACCCACAGGGGTTGGGGACCTAATGTTTATACAAAATTGAATCCCCTTCACCTGAAGATGCTTCTGACCAAATTTGGGCGGACTCCAATCATTCCTACAGGACCAGGTGAGCTAATAACTATTGAGCCTGTTACCTCCATTAACATAATAATAATGAAAAAATAAAATACACAGACCCATGAGATGCTTTATTCTTATCACTTTAAATGACTGCAATAACATCAAAACAATCATTTTCAAAATGTTATGATGCGAACATGACTATGTTATACGTAAAAGTCATCGATATTTAATATGAGTTGCTCTGTTAAAATAACATTACATATATATATATTTAAGCATCATATATTCATATTGGAACAACCTTCACATTGGTTACATTCATTTATATATATATCATTAATCTTATCACATTTCTTTGTAATGTACAATGCATTCTTACATCACAATTGCATTCACAAGCACAAGATACACATCCACACTATTGTATTAATTCATTTTAAGTCAAATAATCCATATTTCGAGTTCATATACGCACAACAGACATTCCGAAATATATTTCCATCGTTCATATTTCCGACAAACTACCATCCAATATGACTTGTGTAGCACGATTTAGCAAGGACATGTGCGATAATCCATATGCCATTTCAAATATGTTAAAATGGTTTGACAAATCTCTTGATTCCAAGAAGATGTAAAACGAGTTGAATCCAAAGTTGCACAGTAACAATAGGAAGATCGTAGATGCAGCAGTATGTTCAATTCAAGCGTAAATGTGACGTTACTATTGTAATTGGACATTAGCTCGGTGGAATTGTGTCTCGCCATCCACGATTTGACTCAGTAAAGTGCATTTGTGATTCAATCAGGAAAATGGTCCGTTTTATAAAGTAAAAACATTGTAAAACATAAAAACCCTAAAACAAATAATTCAAAATCTCATTCCTAACCATCTACATTTCTTGCTTTTCACCCAAACTAGATGAGCCACACCAATCAAAATACCTACCCGTTGTTCTGACTAAGTACCAAATTACCTTTAAACACAAATAAGGTTAAACAATCAGAAACTCAATTTTATCTGTACAAACACATAGTTTATGCACGTGCGTACACAATTTGAAGAAGTAAATTCTGAGTCTTTAAATGGAACGCTAGCTTATTTTCAAAATGTCTTGATTATCATCCAAAAAATAAGACCAAGAGCGATCGAGATTTTTAATCGTTCATAATTTCATATTATTCACTCTTCGATATAATTGTATTCCAACTTTCTTTGTTGCAGCTGTTGTACGATAGAACAAATTCATCTAAAGGAAACTCTCTGAAATTGGGTGTGAACAGAAAAGTAAGAATTGGTCTCGGTTTTGCTGCTTCGAAACATTAAGACAAAAACGGGTAACACTTTTGTTCAATTCAATTGGCACATAATTATATGAGTATGTAAAAACCATAATTAGACAAATACAACGCAGGAATACTTAGGTTAAATGAACACAGAATCGGCAATAAAATCAAACATGACGGGAAATTTTCTCACAAGATATCAAAGCTTGTAGTGTATATATGAATACACGCCCAAGCCATATGGCCACAATAATTGCACATGGAGTAGCAGCATGATGGCTATGTACCAGTACCTGAATCAACCTGAACCCCAAAACCATGTGTAATAACACTGTCTTCCCACTTCTTCTGATAACCATTGCCTAAAATTTCTATAGGGTTCTGATGTAATTGGTATATAAATTGACATGGTATGAAACTATATTTTAAAACCACGAAACATCAGTTTTTTTTAAAAATATTTTGTCAGCATTTAACAAGTTTCCAAAGCAATATTGCGTAATTTTAAAACGTCATTCTTCGACTGGTAAATAATAATCATTTCACAAAATATGTCATTCGGAGATATTTGAGGTCATCACATTTAACATAATTAGCTAACATCACTGGAAAATGTATTCGACTAGGTGTTTAACATTGGATATAATTAGGCAATTAGTTTGACGGAACTGGTTATATTATTCGGGAGTGATTACTGGTTAACAAACCAAAATTCAAAGTAGCAGTATCATTATTTAAATGAAAGTTACTATTTTAGGTTTAACATGGTGTTATCAACCACTAACACCAATCCTTGTAGATGATTCTGAATCAAAATAAATAACGAAAAACTTTTCCCCCAATAAATTTCTTTAAAGAATATTTCCCATTATTTTGGAATCATATGTTCCATCACGATGATATTAGCCAAGTGATAAATTGCTTTCCATCTTCCTGTTTGACAATTGTGTGGTAGAGAAGCCTTCTCTAGGCTTTGTTTCCTGCGGACGAGTATCTTTGCAGTAACAGAGTTTGACAAGTATCACAGACACGAACAGGCTTAGCTGATGATGGCAACGGCATCTTATTGTCCGAACATTCATTACAGAAAATCTCGCCACAGTTCCTACAATGATGCTGCAATTGAAATACATAATAAGTGAAAAAAGAGTAACTAGATATCACAAACAATGAAAACAAACACATTTTACTAATACTGTAAAGACTGCCTTTTTCGATTGTTTAAATTTTAGCGATTTTACAGCACATTTCAAGTTTTCTCAGTAAATTTATCTCTTTTTTTTTTCACAGCGGAAGTGAAAATCCTGAAAACAACTATCTTTACAGTATTTTTCTGGACTGGACGAAATACCTATGCCTCCGTCAGTGGTAGTTGATACAGTGCATATAGGAAGGATTAAATTATGGGATTGTTTTCATATATTTCTTCTTTAATTGGGCCAGAACAACAAGACCTAACGTTCTGCAAACCATAAAAGAAGAGAAACATTGAAAATTAAATCATGAAAACATACAATTTAAGTTTGCACGAGGGAAGATATTTGGTTAGGGACATCAAAAACTGTATCTAGATATAATCTTAGGATTGATTCTTAAACCGTAAAATCGTTTTCTGAGACAACGATGGAAAAAGTTCAGCACACAATGGCACACTTTGACAAAAATTTCCTTTTCAATAATTTAGGGATATTACTGCATAAAAGATGTATAATTCACGCAGTGTAAATCAATGGGATGTGATTATCATAATGATATCAAAATTTCTCGTAATGAACAGACTTCAAATTTCCGAAACAATTCATGTTGATTTAACTAACCTTCCTTCTAGCTATAGAAAACTCCTTATTACAGCTACTACACTGAGATGCGTCCTTATCACTCATCCAAGCAGCTTCTTTAGTTGCTTGGCTTGCCTCTCTCATGTCTTCCACTTTCAACTTGGATCTAAAACGAATTTTTTTATTGAAAGTTACTTGGATAGACAGACGAAAGAAACCCGAAAAACACGAGTGACATAGTGGAGAAATAATCAAAATGATTTGCCAAGCTCTGAAACTTGAGCGGAAATTTAAAAAAAAAGGGGGCAAACGTTCATATCGACTTTCCCCTACTCTCTGTTCTTTTTTCAACTTATTATACAAACGTATGTGTTTTTCTTATTTTAAACGTCAATGTAAGAGCGATGACACCAAAATCCAATATGGTGAAGAGCCTCATGTAGTGATGGTATGGTGTGGACTAAATTTCCTGAAGGCTCGCATTGATGAGCTATCTTGTACGCAAGGTCTTTATTTCAATAGCAGTAAAGGATGATTTACCATTAATCTTGATAGATAATAAAAATATAATGAGGTGTACCACTTGATTGTGTGATGCTGTGGTGTTTATGAAACAACCGTTAAGGGGTTCAGGAGATATCTCGTACACAAGGGCTTGTAAAAAACACTGAAAGTGTAACACTTGATGCTGTGGTGTTTATGATACAACCGTTAAGGGGTTCAGGAGATATCTCGTACACAAGCGCTTGTAAAAAACACTGAAAGTGTATCACTTGATGCTGTGATGCTGTGGTGTTTATGAAACAACCGTTAAGGGGTCTAAGAGATATCTCGTACACAAGCGCTTGTAAAAAACACTGAAAGTGTATCACTTGATGCTGTGATGCTGTGGTGTTTGTGATACAACCGTTAAGGGGTTCAGGAGATATCTCGTACACAAGCGCTTGTATAAAAAAGTGAACAACGTAATGATGTGATGCTGTGGTGTGAATATGAAATTGTCATTACTAAAACGATCAGTTCAATTTAAATAAGTTATAAAATAAATGAAAAAGGCTTGTATCTTGCTCCACTTGATAGACAGCAATATTTCTAATAAAAGCAAAGTTGTAGTCTACATCATTAAATCATACCAAAGGTTATTCTCTACGATTGTCATCTGTACTTGCTATCTTAGTCAATAACGAGAATAAGTTGACTGTTTCTTACTCGCTTAGATGTGAGCCAAGTTCTGCTAGAGTTCTTTCCTGTTCCTCACACGTCTCTTGTAGACTTTGATGCATCTTTTGTAATGATTTATAATCCTAAAAAAATAAGATCGCGTAATTTGAATCCCGTTTCCTTGACTGTTAAATACGTGACGGATTCCTATTGCACAACAGATGAAATACATGTGTGTACAACTTGATACTTGATCTAGAAATTATGTCGGCAACCTGTCGATCAATTCATAAACCAAAAGCAATCACACTTGTCAGAAACTAGAGAAAAGATTTTTGAAAAGTTCTGAACTACCGAAACTAACCAAAAGATTGTTCATAAGATCTATGTGAAATACATTCAAAAACAAACACGGAAATTATCTCTTTAATGAAACAGATAAATGGCTCATACATCAATGCACACTAACTATGACCTTAAACGTGACATCAAATAAGTTTGCAACTGATGTTATTCTATTGGTATTCCTAGATATAAATGATAACAGATTACTTACGAAGCCAACAAGAATCGCTAGTCTGTTTCGTTAATTAGGTATTTGCAATTAGCGTGATAGTTATACATAGAGAGCCGTTAATCTTAATCACACAAACGGATGGAGTACTACCTTTTCCACCTCCTTGATCTGTGTATATTCAGCTTGTAGTTGGGCTGTCGCCTCTTTCTCCTGATCCAAGGTTTTCTGAAGCGTACCACGCCATTCACGCTCTATCCTAAGGTCCGTCTCTAAAGCAGTTCTGGTTACAGAGAAAACTACCAGATACCAAAAGTGATTTCTTATAATAATCGTCTTTAATTACATACGGCTTTTTTATCAATTATAATCTGACATGTCGACCCTGACCTGTACTTGGGTGACATATCAATTTGACTCTTATAAACGTTGCCTTTCATTGTCATAACAAATTAGTTACTAGGTAAAATATTCAAATTTCGGCTTTCACCTTTGACCTAGTGACCTAAATCTGATGTTATGCGACTTCTCATGTGATTTTGGCCAATTTTGCTTCATCCTGACATAACAAAATTGTAAATAATTGACACTGACACCTTGACCTAGTCGGGCGATTTGTCATTTGATTTCAGTCGTTTAATTCGGGTCACAAAATAAACGTTAGCGGTAATTTATTGATCAACCAATGTGAACAACTTATTGTTCGGAAATGGTGATGAGGAATGACGTTAAGGCGACATTACAATATCCCCAGCCTATCATTAACAAGGATGATAATCAATAGGAAAAGTTAGCAATCGAAATAGATTGAAAATTGACTAATGAATGAACTAAAGTTAGATATGTCTTCTATAAAAAAGAGACCGTGAATTTTAGAAAAGACAAACCTCTTACACCACATTCTGTATAAAATTTACGGAATCTACCATGTCATCCCCACATCGCCACTTAACAATTCATGCTTCCCAGTTTTAGTAAATCTCACAATTTTTATGTCATTCATAAAAGCCTGGAATTGGCAAGCTATACTGCCTCTGTTCCTTACTATCAAATTTCGATGGATCATGATTGAGAGAGCTCTATGATAATTTACTTCCAGCCAATTGAACCTGTCTCTTAAACATGATCAATATTGCTTGAGTTCTGCCTGGAGTGTAAATAAAAATCATTTAAAAGTAATTCCGTTGACATGCCTGAAAACAAAACAATCAGCGAATGGTTTGTGACAATAATTATAGAATGTAGTACAAGATGCGTTGGTAGAGGGCAGATGAGCCGATCTACTGTTGACATTTAAGGATATAAAATATTTTATAAGGTTAATAATGCTTAATTTGGAACAAAGTAGAATGTGTTACTAGTAGATTTAGCAAATAGATATATCACTCCTACTAACAACACAAGAAAAAAATAAGCATACATCCACTATTTAACAGCAAAAAGTTCACGAAAAATGAAAAGAAACAATTCAAGTCAGAGAAATGCTTGCATTGTAAGCGTAAATAAAAGCAAAACAGGATTGTTTGAGGGCGTGATATATTGTTCTGTCAGTTCCAATACCGCAATCAGTTACGTTAGTTTTTAACTTATTTTGTTGCGTTGAACTTGACGGCACGAATATCAATCAATGAAGAACTGAAGATATTTTCATGACCAAAAGTTACAACTCGTTCAGTCATTTATTTAAAATGCATTACACAGAACCACTAGGGGATATTTTAACCGGATTACATCGGCGCGTGTAAGCGTATTTCTCGCATAACATATACATTCTAACATATGTAATATGTCCATGTATTGCAATTCCAGACCTGAATTGGAAAGTACCTGCATTTCTAGTAAGAGAACATTTGAACAATAAATTTGTAACATATTCTTTCCGTGAAGATTTTACAAACTACAAACGAAGAGCACAGGACAAAGAAGTAGGACATGTAATGAAAACGACGTTAAAAACAGAAAACATTCATCGAAAGTAAACGTAATTCCACAGGCTTTATTTTGAATGTTACTGAAAACACCGTCTTCCTTACTTCAAATGTTACTGAAGGCAGCACCTTCCTCACTTCGAATGTTAGTGAAGGCACCGTCTTCCTAACTTCGAATGTTACTGAAGGCACCGCCTGCCTCACTTCCAATGTTACTGAAGGCACAAACTACCTGCTTTCAACGTTACTGAAGGCGCCGTCTTCCTTACTTCGAATGTTACTGAAGGCACCGCCTGCCTCACTTCGAATGTTACTGAAGGCACAAACTACCTGCTTTCAATGTTACTGAAGGCACCGCCTGCCTCATTTCGAATGTTACTGAAAACACCGCCTGCCTCTGTTCGAATGTTACTGAAGGCACCGCCTGCCTCACTTCGAATGTTACTGAAGGCACAGCCTGCCTCACTTCGAATGTTACTGAAGACACTGCCTGCCTCTGTTCGAATGTTACTGAAGGCACCGCCTGCCTTACTTCGAATGTTACTGAAGGCACCGGATGCCTCACTTTGAATGTTACTGAAAGCACAGCCTGCCTCACTTTGAATACTACTGAAGGCATCGTCTGCCTCGCTTTAAAATATTACGAAGGCACCGTCTTCCTTACTTCGAATGGTTCTAAAGCACCCCTCATCTAACTTTTATTGTTACTGAAGGCATTTTTCAAATTTCAAGTATCTGAACTTGACACCACTAAGAACTCCTTGGGTTATGCATTGTTGAATGTAATCTTAATGTTCTAAAACCATGCACGTACCTGTAGCTGTGTAACAATTAAATGAAAATCTCAATTTTTCATGCTTTCATCGGAAATGCATAACTATCACCGCATATACATTCAACAAAACAAAGTCAATATGTATTTGCCTCTCTGGCTGTAGAGATAAGTGTTTTAATGAAGTCAGCGTGACAATGTGCGGGTTTGACATGATTCTGTGTCTAACTTCCAGAAACTTAATCTTAGATTAAAACAATAAATTTCCCTGAAACGCAGTTGATGGTTCAGTACTTCACAGTTATATAACAAGGAATTTCCCAGAAGAATTCTCTCGAATAATTTAGAAATGCCTCATTGGGTCCCGGCCCTCTACAACTAAGGGACTAGACTGATACAAACGATTAGCACATCCAGCTTTATAAGGCCAAAGAGTCACAAGTCAGCGCAACGTTTCCATTAAGTTTAGTTCTTCATATCTGGTAGTATTTGGTAGGCGTGGCATTTTGATTATGAACGTGAAATAAAAATTAAATGGAAAGTTAAACAAGATACAAAATTTGATATTAAAGATACATACAATTATAAAAAGACATGCAATGTTTTGAATAACCCTGTCTTACCGTTTACAATCTTTATCAGCTATAACCTGACCCAGTTTTCGGGCTGTTTCCTCAGCAGCAATTTTGTCAGAATCTGCCTGTTTAAGTCTGTGGTTACCATGACAACAGAAGCCGCAACACATAAAACATGCAAAAGAAAGAAAAAACACAAAATAAGGGAGGAGAAACGAAAGCACCTGGATAAAATATAAATATTTTCTTTACATTTTCTTCTACTTTGCAATTTTTAATCTGAAATAAAGAAAATCAAAACCAAGCCCTAACACTGCCAAGAGGGATGTCTCAATAGCAAAAGAAACGAAATGACAATGCGTGGAACACGATAGAACTCGTCAGCATCAATGTAACAGATAAACTAAAACAAATTACTTGATTTTCTACTCAATCATTACCTACAGTGGTCAAATTACCGGTACCGATGACTAGAAACTAAGCCAAGCACATACTTTAACTTTATACTGAAGTCATTATTTGACAGCTTTTGATATATGAAGATATGGTATCCCTTTTGAACAACTATGTCTGCTATGCTTCCATAGTCGCTTTTACGTTAACATGCTATATCGCCCCGTGTGATACCTAGAAGACATTCAATAGTGTTTTCTGCAACAACAAATATGTCTCACAAATGTGTCTAATATTTTAGTATCGTTCATGAGTGCTTCGTGCATTCATTTTTATCAATGCGATACCACTCTATATGTCACTGGCAAAATGTAATAAAATAGATTTAACAGCAAAATAGACTTATCCAGATATTTCTCACCGCCTAGGTTTCATAATCTAGACCCATAGTATCACTGACGAGTCCAAGATGGATGAAGTTGTAATATTCAGTTTTATTCACTATTTAATCAAGTTGTATCAAAACCTGTATTTAAAGGTGTTCTTCTCCTGTGTCTTTGTGCAATCTTCTAATCACGAATGCAAAGAAAGCATACTTGTATATATCAATAGGACTGTTTTGCATCAAATTTCAATTAGGCAATCTCAAACAGGACACTAGCACATGGTAATTATCTAAATCAAACAAAACTCTAGGGTAAGTATATTTCAAACTTCTATACTTTTGAATCATATTTCATGAATTAAACGAACCAGACAAACGCCATAAAGACCATATATCATATTTGTTATGTAACTATAAGAAAATAAATACATGTATGTATACATTTACAAAACAGACACACGAAACTGAAGAAAGGGTCAGAAAAAGTAGGATTAATACTTAAACAAACAGCAAAAATTTTGACACTTAAAATGAGGATGAAAAACTTTCTGTTCACTATTTTCATTTAATCTAAATTTCCATTACCTATGCCCACAGCAGCATTTCATATCGACAAAATGATTGAAGATAACATTACTGTATATAAGATCTTCAATAAGTTATCGTTTCCTAAACATTTAAAGAAACATGTGTAAGGCGTTTAATATTTAGGGAAGAGTTTCATAAAATCTCATTTGCAATGAAAACAAATCATTAAGACATTTTAACTACTTTCTGATTGGTTTGAAAGTCAAATGTTGAAGAAAAAGTCAAATGTTGCCTACGCCCACATGCTAACGAAAAATACCAAATCATATACAAAATTCAATGTAAGTACACATCAGGTCAAATATACTACCGTTCCATAAAAAATCATGTGCTAAGGAAATGGGTTACTTCACTAAAAACACAATAACTCCAACCAATTTTTGGATTGAGTCATTAACCCATTTCCCAAACGCCCACGAAATCTCCAGAACAGTTGCAATCAAAATATCTTATACAATTCGCGTGAAAAACCAATGAAAGAAAGGCAAGTGGGCGAGATTTTATTACTGTCACAGACAAGTTCCTTTACCAAGATGACTAGCATATACTGTGCTTACTATGCCACAGCTGCGAGCACTAGAAAAGACCGGAAGGTAGAGGAACGCATAATCTGATATCATATATAAATATCTACGTGATATTAAGGCAAAAATGAACACATGAGCCGAATACATACATTACATGAAAAGTTTACCATAGTTTTTCCTTAATATTTATATACGTATTTTTATTCTGATACCAACGTCAAAGCTGAGTAACATTGACGCAAAAAATGTTGCATTATCACAACGGATTGTTTGGCTTCCAAATGCGAACACATCAGTTCAATTAAAATATTAATTCATTGTTATAATATAATTATGTAACAGCAATTCGCTGCTGAGCAGAAGCAAGGGAAACCTCACTAAAAAGTTCACTGAAAACTTATAGGTTTTCGAAAGCACAAAATATGATTCATAAATTAGGTTTCCATATCATGTGTTTTTTTTATAATTTCTGCGAGCCTCTGACGAGTTAAAAACAAAATTTCTAAAAATGTGACTAGTTTATGAATCGCTTATCAAATTGAATCGATCTTAAAATCCTTCTTAACAAATGAACAGTTGATTTAAATATCACACAACATGGTTTCCTGTGCATTTCTTTTAGACATTTTCCTTCCCGGTCGATGGTCTCGAAAGTGACGGTATAATGTAATGTTTGAATGTGTGATATCATTGTATCATCTATCGACATCACAATAGGTCATTTACAGTGTAACACCAGTATAATATGGGAACATATTACACGAGTATAGTCACTGAATAGCAAGGAAATCATCTGATAAAATATTAGATTAATAGAAAAATATATAAACAATGGCAAAAAAGGGAGAATTTCACCTTGATGACAAACATTCAACATCAACAACTGTACCGTACAGTAATTGATAGCTACTTCACTGTGGCGATCAGGTGCCTATTGAAATAAGAGTCATGTGGCATTTTATTTTCATCTGAGCTAAACAACACTGAATCACCGTAAAATATCGTCTACAATATATCTGATAGAGCACGGATAACAAATTTGTTGACATGAGAAGTTTCACACGTTGCAGCTATTAGACGGGATCTCCAAGCAGTCATGTGAACAAATATGTGATATTAAAGCTAATACAAGTTTGATTATTGGGTGATACACAGTTCTTGCTGTAATTATCTAGAAGATGACAAGAGGAAAGGCATCCAATAAATGAATAATCATAGACATCAGGAAATGAAGAGTGTATCGCGAATTATTTCCATGTTGTTGCTTAGATAATCAAGCTAATACAAGCTTAATATAATACCTAAACTTCGGGTTATAACGGACAACTACGTATATTAACCACGGCAGAAATATATACATAAATTCTCGTTTTGCTCCATCATCACTTTGACCATTCAGTGACAAGTGTCATCACTATATACTGCCACGAAACACTACAATTATGTTACAATAGAGTGACAAGTATACGGCTAGATAAAAGCTCCCAAGTCATATGAAATTCACCGAAGTTTTGATCGATACTCTTTTACCAACTGCAGGTCTGGAACTATAAACCATGCCTACATGCGTTCAATTCTACGCTCTCCAATATAATAACTATTGTAATATAATGGCAAATTTGATAATATTGCTTGCCCAACAATAACACGTATTTGAATACGTGTACGCCTGTTGTTGTCGTCGTCTTGTTTTTCGGAAAATTTTGAAAGGTATTAAACGTCCGCAAGGCATTTTTACCTCCACTCTGAACCCTAATCGTCGGCCACCTTAATGTGACACGGTGTACAGCATGGTGTTATGACAACACACATGTATGGGGGAAATATAAAACCAAATATGACGAAAGATTCTCATGAAACGACATTAATTTCGGATGTGAGGACATAAAAATAAATAAGAATAATAATAAATATCAGCATGTAATGTTAATTTCTCTATATTTCATAAATTTTGGCTTAAACGTCCAATGCAACACGAGAGGTTTAAATAATGGCGGCGATAATGGATTTCCGACCGACTCGAATAATTACAACATTTGGTCGGAACTGTCTCATAACAAGTTCAGACAAATTTCAGCTGAATCCCATAAGTGTAACTTGAGAAGACGATAAAAATGTTGTCCAGGAAAACCATGATTGCGATATCATGTTACAAAATGACCGCCACATTGAACTTTCGATGAAACTGAAAAACAAGAAATTGTCGGCTTCCCGTCCTTAACATTCCCATCAACTTTTAATGGCAGAAGTGGAACTTGGGTAGAAGTTTTAATATGATGGCAGCAAACGCCGACGAAAGAAACACAGTGGCTACAAGTCATCCTGATCCTTCAGGTGAGAGGATCTAGAAAAAGTAGCACCTTTAAATGGAAACGGTCTTTTGTGAAAGATCGTACAAATGGCTGCATGGGGAAAATGGCGCTGGAAGAATATCTCACAAAGAGTATCAGTATGATCCTTCAAGCAGATTTATGCACATATGTAAACAAACAGTTAATTTCCACATCAAGTACGTACTTTTATATGTTTACATGTATCTATCGATTTGAACAGTATTAACTTCAAATCGGGAATACTATACAACATAATAGTACTATCATCTTCAGGCAGATCGGAGTGTCCATATGTCTTGAGAACTTTAACTTTAAAAATGGCCTACCGCTTTTCCATGTCTTTAAGTGTCGTGACAAGTTGAGTAGTTTTGTCTTCTAGTTTCGTCACCAACTCTGTTTTGTGCTTTAGACTTTGGTCGCAACTCTGTAAAACATAAAAGCATGACAAACCGTTACTCTTATGTTAGTGTGTAAACATCGGACAAAGTATTACCAAAATCTAACGGATAACAAATGTTTTTTTCTGAACCTATTAAGTCTGCAATAACGACAAAATAGTAATATAAAATGATTTACAAAACACACAAAAGAATAGTACCTTTCAACCGAATTTCGAATTAGACATACTGAAGCTGAATAATGAATTGAACTTCGCCATACACATACTTCTTTGTGAGTAATGATACGGGACGAAATTATAGAAAATTGAAGACTACAGAAAACCAAATGATCGAAAGAAATGTCAAATATATAGATGAAGATGTTCACTGGTATCACAATTTTTGTAATTTTCATAAACTTGATAATTTCAAAAGAACGTCAGGTTCATGTATATTCTAATCCATGTCACTTTCGCATGAATACGCGGCATGTAGGTTAAGGCAAATCTCTAGAGCTAAAGTTCCACTAGCAGTGTATAACACCTAGAGAAAAAAACATACAAGTGAATAGCACTTTTCCATACAAATTTAGAAACAGATGCAGCACAGTTCTTTCCAACTAGACTATGACTTCGTGAACTTGAATTCCTTTGTTGTAACTTTGTCGATCATATCAGTTATTATATTCGGAGTCTGAGAATAATAATTGTTTCCAAATGACAACATATTGCAGTCAATAGGCTAGGACAGTGTGTCAAATTAGAAACTGCGTCATGTGAACATTTTTCAGTTTCCTAAAACGAAATCGAATAGATATAGACATGTGATATCTCTGGTGACAACAGGAAAATAGCTTCGTATATCGCTCGCAACTTAACTTGATCTATGTTAAGCAAAAAAATACCCCCCACCTCCCACAAAAAAAAAAAAAAAAAAATAAAAAAAAACCCAGAGACATAAAACTTGTAACGTTATCGGTATCAAAAAGCATTGCTATACTGCAGATAACCTGGCATTCACATTTAACATAATTGATAAATCACTCATATAGTAACTATATAGTTGAAGCATTTGCCGTAAGGAAAATTTACAAGGAGAATAGGACCAGATGTTTCGGAAGAGCATGTGTCTTCTGCTTCATCGACGATACCCACCATGTTAAACATGATCAATCCAAGTACGAACTAACACGTTCTCAAATGTGAAAATTTTCTACAACAACGGAACCAACAGGAAAACTAACCATACATTAGTTAACATGAACGTATTCAGAAATACTCATATTAAGTAGAATATTGGTCATTTGACAGTGTTACCTTCACATGTACATACTTCAAATTTATACAGAGGATATTTAATAATGTCTGCAGTAATAAAAAATACACTGAAAAATATTAGACACATAGGTGAAATGTATTTGTTATTACAGGATACTCTATTGAATACTCAATTTATTACATTTTTAAAAGCTTAATTGCCAAACTACTGGCGTATTTAGAACAGATATAAAAGGATACATGTGACTAGGCTTTTCGCGCACACTACTCACTCATTATTACTTCGAAGTACGCGACAAATTATAGTCCGTGTAGTATGTTTACCATGGAATTGAAGGTCGTGTTACTAGTAAACAACCTGTTCAGGATTCCGGTTTTGTTTTTTGTTTGTTTTTTTTTGTCGATGATTTGTCAATTTCACAAGATGACTTGTGTTCTCTTTTTTCACTGGCGTAAGTTTGCAAATATGATACCAAAATAGTGTATTTTTTCCCAAATGAAAAATAACACTGTTATCAATGTGATGTTTCACTATATTTCAGTGCCCAATTATCCACGTTTCAAGTAATTAGGTCACTATGGCTTACCTATAGCATGATGGAGTTTTACACAGGATGAGTTTGGATATGTCGGGTAATGAACGTGCTACATTTATCAGAAAAATATAGCTAAGTGAAGGAATCTATATACAAATAGACAGATACAATAAACACTGAACTAAGTTTCCTTGCAAACGTCCAGACAGATTGTTCTACGAACGGTCAACATCCCATGTGATGTAATGCTTTTCCCAAGTTCGTGAATCATTAGTGTTCATAAAAAGTAACACTGTTGCCAAGTCTACATCCCAACGACGTCATATTGCATACAACAGCCGTGTGAAGTCTGCACCGGCTTACAAGTCAGTACATTTGCATGTTGTTCAGTCTTTTCACACATTTTGTGAGTTGTCACTTGTAATAAAATTACAGATACCGTATAATGCCAAACACAAGTGCAGTTTAAGCATGAACGATCGAGTACACAGCAAATTTGCCACTAAACTTCAGTGCTCGCGACGGTTCAACATCTCGAACAACACCGCCTTTCATGGTTTGAGAGGTTTTATCCTAGGGTATGCTGTATCCCTGGAGATGGTAATGCATTCAACAATCGGAATAACATCATATAAATAAAGTAAAAACGGTCGTTGTTCTGTTATAACGAAATGAATAGCACGAACGCTCATTTTGTGATGTGTTTTAGTTACGGTACATCAAAAACACTGAAAAGTTCCAAAATGTGGGGGCGTATTAATACTACATGCGAAATGGTGCCGGGTATATGTCACTTAATTGGACACTTGAATTGAATCTGCATTGAAAATATTGGAAAGTGATATGTGGAAACAGTTTTGAAATGTCCCGGTTATTATGTAAATTTGTGTATATTCAGTCAAAAATGTGCCCTTACTGGTGATAATGGTACAACAACTTATCTACAGCGAGTTACAGCTGCTCCCATATATGGTTGTGCATTATTTTAAATACCTAAACAAGGAAAGTAAGAAGCAGGTTGTGTGATGTGCGGGAAAAAGTTGCGTCGGTGAAACCTTTAAATAAATAAACTTTAGTTTACTTTACAACAATTGTAAAACAAGTTTGCCAACTTATATTAATCAATCTTGTTGGCCCGAATGAAAGCGCGCGAGGGGTCTTATTGTGGGAGGAATCCGGAGTACCCGAGGAAAACCACGTGGGTCAGGCAGGTGCCCACATACCTTTTCACGTCCATTTCGGGAATTGAACCCTGAACGACCAGGTGAAAGGCGAATGCGTTTCCAAACGTCAACCACCACCCTGTAAAATCTTCTGAGCAGTGTTAATAATGCACCATTTCTAGATCACGTGACCGATCTGCAGGAACGATAACTGCGTTGTGCAGTATTTGCAGGCCTATACCAGTCACATATAACGATACGATACGCGAAAGAAAGTTATGTGTTGAGATGACGTTTTATGTGATCATGCCAAAGGAAAACATGGCAATATCTATATAGTTTTACTTTCATTTTTTAACCTAATGTAGAAAAAATCAGAACATTTTAGTATGTGAACCTGTCAGAATTGAAATTATTTACATATCAAATAGCAAAGTTAAAGCGGAGGTAACATCATTTTCCTAGAATGTTCTACACCAAGCACTTCTTTAACATCATAACAAACACCATTGACAACGTGTAAGAGAACTAAATACATACCGATACTAATCATGAGAGATACTCATCTGGGATGCTAGGAACGGTATTTGTATATACAACTTTCAGTAAGAAATAGAATAATGATGATGAAACAGGTTGGGAACGTTACGTTTACATTCAAATACCACATGAGATTAATAACACTTTCTAATAAGGTTTTTAATTTGGCTTTCGGATTAATGAACTTAATGCTTTCTTTCCTGCGAAAGACCACAAGGGATCTGTTTTAGAATAATTGCTATTTTGTTTTCATCTTAAAATTCGGTTTCTTCTATTCCCCCAGTAAGACTGAATAAGAACCTGTCACAAGACTATTGTTAATTGCGTAGATATAGCTTTACTGCTAATTAGCACTCTGCAAGCTTCAAATCCACTAATGATAGTGGGTGTGAATGGAAGACCGATACGATAATCCAGTAAAAATACCTGATTGAGTCATCATGTTTGAGTTATCATATCTTACAGCATTTCCGACAATTTTCAATCATTTCTTGACTGATTCTTTTTCAGACATACCTATTAAGAGCAGAACTGTCAACATTATTGAAAACAAAAAATTTACTACTTCCTTTGCGCATGGAAGACAACCGGTGAATAAAAATTTCACTTAATATCCAATTTTGTGTTTCTATTTTACAACTTTGCAAGTCATGCTTGGTTTCCAAAAAAATTCAACAGCCGCTGATCAAAATCTACTGAAATAAGATCCCCTCCCGATTACTTTATCGTAAATGAACACCGATATTTAGTTGAAATCTAAACAATTTCTTTAAAATCCCGTTTTCGTGAAACAGGCATTAATCCTTTTTTGAGATTAGCAAATAAGTATGCTATGTAAAAGAATAAGACTTGCTTTAAATATAGACCAAATTCAAAATTAACTACACAAGAAATATAAAAAAACACTACCATTTCTCAAAATACAACGAAGAAGTACATAATTTGGTTGGTGGGTAACAAACCTATACCATTATATATATACATTTAACAAGAATTCCACGGAAGTGCATGTATCGACTGCTTCCGATGATGAGTTTTATGGAACAATAGCCATAGATATTCATTGTATTTATTCCATTTATATAATTTGCCTATCTGTTTGAGATGTAATGAGTATCCTTGCAGATTAGATTTATAGTGTCGGAGAGAACTGAATCAGTATATCACAATTAAGCGCTGAATTACAATTTAAAAATACATCCCAAGCAAGTAGCACTGCATGTATTTTGAGCGTAATTGTCCTAAGAAAACTTAAGCAATCGCAATCCCTTCCTCTTTTCAAAATACTTTTGGCTCATAAGGATCATTATCGAGTCACAGAAGGACAAATGAGCTGTATACCGCGGTTTTGTGGTTTTTTTTTTTTACTCTACGTATATAATTCTATATTTGTATAGTCTTGTTCTCCTATGTACATTTTAAATGGTCACTGTGTGATTTCCTAAGGTCGATATCCAAAGTGAATCAACTTTCGGTCAAACCAGCTCTAATATTTAAATAATTTATCAAAGGATAAATTATTCAGGCA